CCAAGAGAGCAATTTTAAGGTTTGAGTTAAAATATTTTATTCCTTGAAATCATTTTGTTTAAATTAAAGTTCTAAGGCATGTAGCAACTTCAGGGCTGCAACTCAAATAATGAACTAAAAAAGTGAGAAAAGTGATCAATTTTTTTTTTTAGGTGACTAAAAGTGACTATATTTTTTTTTAAGTGATAAAAAGTGACTATCTTTTTCTTAATAAAAAACTATTTTAATAAACTAACAAAAGTATATTGCTCACTTGCATTTTATTTTATATATTAATAATAAAAAGTAATAATAATATCAACTCATTTGATATCTTATGAATTAATAAAACAACATAAATATAATATAATAGGCATTTGCTATGTAAATATGTAATAACTGCAATATAGATACTACATTTAAATTATAATTTAGGTATAAATTAATTATTGTAAGGAAAATATTTTTCTTTTTTTAGATAATTTTTTTTTTAAAATAAATTATTGAAGATTATTGAGTAATGATTACAACATACTATAATGCCATAAACTCAAAAAAAGTCATGATAATATTATAATACTAGCTCTAAGTGTAACTCGGATCCGGTCGGACTCGCTGGGAGTGGGTACCGATTTTGGAGACAATGAATAATAAAAGTCGCAAAAGTTGTAAGACGAAAGTTTAGGATTTGTGATAAGGATTTGTGATATGGATTGGAGATAAGGCTAGACGCTTTGGCGGGAATGTTAAAAGTTTGAACGTCTAGCAATCCGTCACAAACGTTGTAATTGGTTAGACTGGATACGATCTCCAGGATCACCTATATAGAGTATACCTGCACATAGAGTGATATGTGCCGTAGCATGACCGGTGCTTTATCTTATGTAAAAAGTGTAAAGTCGAAAACCGTGTTGGAGTTTCTAGCAAGTCAGTCATCTCAAGTCAAAATCTATTAACCTTCAAGTTAGCCACTCCATGGTATTGATGGTTACTTAAAATACGGTTGTAGATCATGAGATTCCATAGGACCATACTTTAATCGTGCATAGGATATAATTTTATCAAATTTTCATTGGGTATCGTCACGGACTTACCGTGCCTTCGATAATTCAGCGCTGCTGTAACGCTTAGTCAGCAACTTTAAATTGTCGTTTTTTAATTCAGCGCATAACTACGCTGCTTGTGATAGATGCCGTTTTTTAATTCATCACAACCTAGCGAACCAAACAGCGGTTCCAGCAGGTTAGAAACATGCTGGTTAGATGCATCATAGATAATTACTGATAACACCATATTGATATAGTTTTGATTTTACCGCCAAATCGAGGTGTATTGATGAGAGGTCTAAAATATTGTGCAAAATGTATAAATAATAAAATACAACTTTTGTCGACTACTCGACCGTCACACGATACCGAAACCGAGTATCAAATTCATAGTATGTACTATGTACTCCCGAATCCCGCTAAAATTTCTTTGTCTATTATTTCTTTTGCTAATTTGCTTTGTTTCATTGTCCATGGCCGGTGACGCCGTGTCGGTAATCGCATTATTATTAATTAGTACAAATATTTCTACATTTCTGCATTTCTGTGTTTAAACTTAAATTTCATAGTTGTTACACAATGGCGTTGACATTTTTAAGTTTCATTTTTAACAAAAACAACGAGCCCGAGTATAACAATGATGGGACCGAAGTTCTTTGTAAAGTAATGGATCCAGGTTAGTAAAAACTGAAAACAAGTAACCTAATTATAAAAAATATATTTTCGGTCAAATAATTGTTAACAATTGCTACCTACATTAATATATTGTGTACTCAATTCTTGAAGACAAAAGTTAAAATTAAAATTTTTTGTACAGATGAAAATTTGACATATGCATTTGTAGACGTTGAAGAGCTGAAGTCGAAAGGAATATTTGTTTCTTCAGCTAAAAGTTATAACGAACTAAACAGTAATGAACGTGAGTATTTAATAAAGATATAGAATTTAATCTTTTAATGTTAATAATGCTAAACATAAACAAGAAACATTGTCATTTAATTGCCTCACTAATATAAAACATAATAATACATAGCTACTATAATTGTTTTGAATATGGTCAGTATGGCCAGTGTAATCAAGTTAAGTCTTATTTATAGCGAATAGTAACACAATTATGAATTAACTATAAAATCAAATACATCTCAATATTGTACCCATTTTTTTTTAAATAAGTAACTTAGATTTATGTATAAATAGTGTAAGAAATCTGGTGTTTGAGAAATCAATCAATCTATTATTGTACTAATTTTTCTTAAGATACTGACTCCTATATTATGCAGTTATTAATAATTCAAAATAATGTACTGTAACTTGATGTAAAGACTACATTTATATTCACTATTAACAAGGAATAACGAAAAAATATTTTTTTATAAATTATTTGTATTTGTTGTTTAGAATCAAAAGTATCTGGAGATGACGATCAAAAAGCAAACAAAGGCTTATTTGATTGTTTAGATGACTCCATTTCTAGCCATGACGAAGAAGAATCTTACTCTGTCCACAATGTTACTTCTAAACAAAGTAAGTAATTAAAGAAAAGTATTGTGATATAAAAATGATATTCTTAATCTTTTTCTAACTATAATTTCAGAAATTACTGAGGAAAACAGTGAAGTAATTTGGACTTCAAAGCTGACAAAAGCTTTAATATCAGAAAGAATAGAAAGCGACTCATTATTTCAACGGCCATCTTGTAAAAAAATAAAACTTTGGAGGTCTAAATTATCTCTAGTAGTTTCTGGGGTGGTAGGTGTGTTCACACAATCGCTGCATTCTGCTTTAAGGACATGGGTGTGCTCATTACTCTTGATTGAGAATATTCGAAATTACGTCAAATTTACTATGAAAACGTATTGGAATATTTGTCATATATGTTTTATTTCCTATAACGATAAGCAAATATATGGCGGAAGCTGCTTGGCTATAATTTTTAAAATATATATAAATTGTTTGAATAATTTTCTTGGAATATTTCTAAATTCTGTATTTTTCTAATGTTTCTAAATGTTTTCTAAAATGTATGTAATTTTATATAAAATATGTGAAATATCATTGTATTTGTATATAAATTGTATACAAAAAAGCACTCAAAATTCGATGTAAAAAAATCAAAATTTGATGTAAAAATGTTGAAATAAGCTAGTTTTAAGTTGATTTTTTGATTGTAAAAAAAACCGACTGCGCTCATAGCTACATAACATATTTACTATGTTTAGAACAAATACAGCAATTTGAAAATCATAATAGGTTAAATTTATGTAAAAATATATATTAATTTTTAGTACACATAGTATAGGCGCCTTAAAGATTTTAGATTTTAGGTATGAGTAAAAAAATGTGTTTACCCTCTACGTACTGCATTTAATTTTTCAAAACTATCGGGAAAGCTAATATAACGTTTAATGATATCTAGTTGATTCAGTGCATTAGACACTTCAGCGATACATCTCCTCACAGATGGCTGACTTAATGCTGATGATCTATTATCACCTATATCAAGTTGATACGAGCCACTAGCAAAGAACCGCAAAGCTGTCAAAACCTAATAATATTCATAACATTTTATCATAATAAATTATTATTAATAATATAGTAATAAATAATTATGACTTGACTTTTATCTTAATTGGGATTGAAGAAAATCTATATGGTTCAATCATGTACGGTGTTAATACATCTATTAACTCCTGAACCAAAGCCTTATTGAGTCTAAACTTTTTTAGAAACTGGTGGTCAGATAATTCTAAAAATATAATAAATTATAATGAGTATAAATGTATAATGTAATTAAGTAGGTATGAACTAAGAAGGCTATAAATACTACAGGTTATTTATTATTATTACACAAACCAACCTTCCATAACATTTTGGGCATTATAATATTGCCTAGGCCGATTACCTACAGCTCTAATTTCAGCTTCCTCTAACATTCCCAAGACTTCCAAGTGCACAATATCTTCAAGAGCCATTTTCCCAAGTCCCGAAAAAAATATATTGTAATATCGGAATCGTATAATAAAACTATTTAATAACTGTTTAATATAGTAGGTATTAGGTAATATATACTTAAAAAAATACAAATTGACAATAAACCAATAAAAAAAAATGATAAGATAACAAATAGTATGATAATTAATACGAAACGATCAATTCGTTATGTACAGAGGTCAGTGGCGTACACACGGGGGGGAGGGGGGTTTGGATGTTCAACCCCCCCCCCTTTAGTATTTTTTCAGTCTACGTACTAACGTAAAAATGTATAATAAAAATGATGACAATTTAAAAAAATATTATATTCCAAATTATACTCCATTATATTATAACTTATAAGCAACCCAGTTTGTTGTTATAATATATTGTAGATATTATTGATAACATGTTACAAATTAATGAAATTTTTGGGAAATTTGTTCAAACACAAACATGAGGGTCGACAATCGTGTAATCCGATATAATATGCCTTAATAGCTATCTCAGTATCGCTAATACTATAGTATAGATATAGAATCTATTTCTCAGTTTTCAATCAAATTCCTGACTCTTTGGACGTTTAGTAAATTGTACTTACTGTTTAAATATTTTATAAAACAACTAGCTCTAAGTGTAACTCGGGGCTCGTTGGACTCACTGGGAGTGGGTACCGATTTTGGAGACAATGAATTATAAAAGTCGCAAATGTTGTAAGACGAAAGTATAGAATTTGTGATAAGGATTAGTGATATGGATTGGAGATAATTCTAGACGCTTTGGCGGGAATGTTAAAGGTTTGAGCGTCTAGCAATCCGTCACAAACGTTGTAAATGGATAGGCTGGAAACGATCTCCAGGATCACCTATATACTATATAGAGTATACCTGCACATAGAGTGATATGTGCCGTAGCATGACCGGTGCTTTATCTTATGTAAAAAGTGTAAAGTCGAAAACCGTGTTGGAGTTTCTAGCAAGTCAGTCATCTCAAGACAAAATCTATTAACTTTCAAATTAGCCACTTAGGTAGGCAATCCGACTTCGTCGGATCGCGGACAACGTGCTACAAAAAATCAGGTAGGCAATCCACCTGCAGTGGATTGCAGACCCGACGTCAAGCGGCTATAAGTGAAAACCCTATCACACAACTTACGAAATAATTTACGAAAAATTCAAACTATATACAATATACATACAAACAAATATGATATGTATTTATTGTGTGATATAATATAACAACAATGAACACTTTGAGAAATGAGCAATTATAATTCCTAAAAAAAATTAACATATAGGTAGATACATACTATTATATTAACCAATACAATACATATAAACACTACCTATAATGTATATATATTAATTTAAAAAAAAAAAATGCAAAAACCAGCATGTTAAACTATTAAAGTGTCTGTCAAGTCAATCATCACCGTTTAAGACGAAACTAAAATGAGCAATCCGTCTATCACCTATATATAGTAGGTATATCACATAGAGTGGTATATCACATAGAGTGGTATATCACATAGAGTGGTATGTGGCTTCGCATGTCCGGTGCCATTCCTTATGTAAAAAGTGTAAAGTCAACAACCGTGTTGGAGTGTCTAGCAAGTCAGTCATCTCAAGTCAAAATCGATTAACTTTCAATTTAGCCACCTAGGTAGGCAATCCGAAATAAAATAGAAACTATATTTATATAACAATCATGGACTTTTTGAAAAAATATGCAATTATAATAATTCCTAACAAAACAAATATAATATGTACCTATTTACTGTGTGATATAATATGACAATGACTTTAAATAATAATAATGTACGATGTGTTCCTGTATTATTATATTATTATTTAATTTATATGAAAAATAACGTGAAAAAAAAATGCAAAAAAAATCGGGTTCCGGGCGGCCGGGTAAACCTTATGGCATCGACGGTTACGACGCCCGAACAGCGTACGACGGATTCGAGCCCGGGACCTACGTGTTTCCTACCTACCGCCTAAACTACCTGGACACATTTTGAGATATGAAGTACGGTCAAAACATCAACACTTAAGCCGTGCGTCTACGGAGCGACGTAAACCGATATATTCGATGATTATCGATGTAATCGCATATAATTCGCTTGTAATACGCGCATCTCCCATATATATATATATTTAACGGGACGTGTGAAAAGCGTTTTCCGTTAATTATTAAATCATAGGGAAAAATTAAATTATACACGTATATAGGTACATGTATATATACGCGTACGGTCGGTCGGTCGCTTCTAAACGCGATTGCGAGGCGAACGAACCGATTTCGGGGGAAAAGCGCATATAAACGGCTTTAAAAAGACGTCGACTACACGATTCGGGCACAAACGGCTTACGAATAGACGAAACGGTGGGAGAAAAGGAAAAAATCGTCAAAAAAGTCCGGTCGGAAGTGTATTTTTCGATCGAAATTGCGACCGCTTCGGACGGCGCACGAATATAAAACGCACACCGGCGGCTTCGAATTAAGTATAAAAAAGGACGAAAAGAGTCGAAATCGTGTAAAATAGCTAATTTTCCGAAAATTTCAAAAATCGGTGAAATGATAGGAAAACAGGAGATAACGAAAAACGTTTTAAAACCGACCGCCGCCACTGCGAAGGTACGCGATTGGTCGCGCTATAAGGAATCGACGGTACATGGCCGGCGGGCTGGGGAAACGGAGCGGTGTTTCATTTTTTACGCCACGGTTTCACTATAGCCTGCGTTTTCCTTTCCATTGGTACACTATAGACAGCTGATTTCCTTGTCATTTTATAGGGATCACTACCTTTTGTTCCACAAAACCTTTGTTCCACGATATATTTGTTCCAAATTAATTAAGGTCCAAATCTTACCTTTTGTTCCACAAAATATTTGTTCCGATGGACTTTTGTTCCGCAAAACATTTGTTCCTATGGACTTTTTTTCCATAAACCATTTGTACCAATACACTTTGTCCCATGAATATTTGTTCCAAAAAACGTTTGTTCCAAGTGTTCCTAACCGCTCCGCAAATCGAAAATATCCCCCGACTTGCTGTGCAACACCTCCCCAAGTGGGTCACAGGGTTGAGAAAATTGCATTTTTGTTGCACCGAGCCACCAATTTGAAAAAAACATCGTACAGTGATGCGGTGCTAGCGGCACTCGTCGCTACGCTCCTCGGCGCCGTCGCTCCGCTCCGCAAATCGAAAATATCCCCCGACTTGCTGTGCAACACCTCCCCAAGTGGGTCACAGGGTTAAGAAAATTGTTTTGTGGAACAAATAGTACTTAAAAAAAATAATTTTTGTTCCAAAAAAAATATTATTAAGATCCACAAATAATTTGTTCCAATTACTATTTGATCCGCATCATATTTGTTCCAATAATTATTTGTTCCACGAAATATTTGTTCCAATTACTATTTGTTCCAAAAACTATTTGCTCCACATTTGGAACAAGTAGTTTGTGGAACAAATAGTAATTGGAACAATTATTTTGTGGAACAAATAATACAGGCCCATTTTATAGTATAGGATAAAAAAGGATAAAAATGAAAAGAATAAACGAATATTTTTCTAACTCACTAATTTGTGATACAATTAACTCGGAGGAACCAGGTAAATATTTAATACATTATGATTATATTATCAACCTAGGACCTAGGTACAAAAAAATGATTAATATGATAAAAATAAATTTCTTTTTATACCTATCTTTTATTGAATTGTATATAATATATTATTATATACATATTGTAAGTACGCTTGTAGCTTTGTAGTTATACTAAATAATTACCTGTAGATAATAGGTATATATTTTTAAATAATAATCGAGTATTGTAAAAATATTTTTAATTTCACCTTAAGTCATTGCTAATGAGCTGATTACTCATTATGTACAAAATAATTACTATAGGTACATCGTTTTGATTTATCAATGTATAATATATATTATATATGTATACAATTTTTTATATGTAAGCCCCCCCCCCCCCCATTGAAAATAGCTGTGTACGCCACTGACAGAGGTTGACGAACGTCGATTACGAATATTTACGTATACGTTTCGTTCGAAAAGTTTCGAGAATACGAAATTTTAAAACATTACGTAAAAATTGCGGATTACGTACATTTTCCTCGTTCTTTTTCCTTACGTAGTTTTCGAGAATATACCCC